TCCTTCTTTCTCCTTCTCTCTCCCTCTATGTCTCTTCGTTCATATATACTCCGGGCATATCGTATGCGGTCATTCAGTAACTCGAACGAGCCACCGTATACATCGACTCCGACGCTCCTCTCGTCCCTTTGAACACAATCCACGGGACCCTGGATCTTCGAAACGCCGGCGTGCCTCCCTTCTCTCTGCCGATCAGCGTTCCCTAAACTAGGGTTCCACAAGATGACGAGAAATTACACGCGCGCGCGTTCTTCGCTGCTTGTAAAGCTTATTTAAACGAAGCACCGTCCGCTTTGGGGATCACTAATGCAGCCATAAATATGTAAGTACATACGGGCGCGAATATTGACTTTCAACTGCCACGAGTTTATTTTCTCTCACTCTTAGTTTACTTTCATTCTTGAAAAGTAACGCAGAAATGCGTTTCTTTTAATATTATCGTAGTATTAATTTAATTTCATTAATCTATTAAAAAAAAAACTGTGTTTTTTCTTTGAAAGAATAAAAGTTATATAGTATCCTTTAAAACAGAACTGCTCAAGGAGATATTCGAGAACTAGCATTGGGTCTTATGGATCCTGGGATTGACTTAGGGAGTTACATTATCGAAATTTAATTCAAAAATGTGTAGAATCCTAAAATATTAAATTATATCCGCTCGCCTAAATTAAACTATGTCACGAGACGCAAGTGTCAATATCTTCCAACCCTTGATATCTAGTGACGGGTTTAACCAGTTCTTCAGTCGCAGCTTGGAAAAATAATCAATTTCCCGGAAATGCTATATCGATTCTATGTATACAGCACTACTTATTCTTCTAAATTAGACCTCACGAACTCATGGCCATAAGAACCCACTGTAACTGTACCGATCGTCCAAGTCACCCCTCTCTTTGAAGCAAGAGGGTGCGATTATTCCCCAGTAATTCGATCGTGGCTCGAGTTGGGAAATAGGACGGCAGCTGCAAGTCCGCAGCACGCTCCTCGGGTATATGCAACACAGGCACAAATAATCCCTTCGGGAACCGGCCAGCCTGCTCGAGGGCCCGCCGTCAACTGATAGGATCCGTTGAGGCCGACGCGGCGAGCCTCGGTTGTTCTACGGCCTGACCCACAGCTTGGCCTGTGTCGGGTCTCATGCCGCCTCTACCACCGGATAGAGCCTGACGATTCGTCGGCCGTGCTGCGGCCACGGTTGTGAGTGGCAAACGGAGTGGTGTGTGCATGACGTGTCGTCGCCTCCTGTGTGCGGCTCATAACCCCGTTGTGTCTCGCACGAGTGCTTACGAGCGAGTGCGTGCGTACACGCCGCGGCATTCGTTAATACCGTTTCCGGCGCGCGCGAAGCTGTACACACAATTTCGCTTGTGTGTTGTGTTGTGTTGTGCACCGCGCTGTTCATCATTTCGCCGCCGTCTTCTTCGTGCGCCCTCCTCCTCCTCATCATCATCATCTTCTGTTGCTGCTTCTACTTCTTCTTCATCTTCCACGCTGCGTCGCGATTTCCGCTGTTCCGTTCCTCTCGCGGGAGGTCAGCACCTTAGCTTCAGTAGGTAGGTAAGTGCGGAATGTGGAGTTCGGGGTTGCTGCCGCGTCGGAACGTGGAAGGTGCGGGAACTGCCGAGAGAAGAGGAAGAGAAAAAGGGAGAGGAAGCGAGAAAGACGGACCTCCCATTACCTCTTGAAAGAAGAGCTCGTGGTGAAATATAAGCGGCCGGTTTCGGTTGCTTTTCTTCTCTTTGTGTTGCCGGCCAACGCGGGGGATCCGCTGTGTCCCGCGTGTGAAACCGCCGACCTGAAATCGCCGCGTCGATTGGACGGTTCGTCGCGATTGTCGACCGGTCGTCTCGCCGCGGGGTTTTAATGAAAAATCGGACGCGGGGAACACTAGGATGCTGTGGGAACAATTCGAGTAGGTTTTAACTGATCCTGATGAACGAACAGAGTCTGACCCATGACGTTGTTCATCGATCTCTCAACCGATAACATCACGATTTGAATGCGGAGTTACGTTTCCTGTTGTGGGAATAATGAGGACTTTAACGCATGGATAATCCGCCCATCTCGCGTGAGAAATATTCTTATCGCGCTCATGTCGGTTACATGAAGGCATGATTAATTTTGGATTTGATCCCCATCTTGTCACATCGTATTACCCAAATACCTGTAGTTTTCTGAAGATCTCACAAATTGCGAAGATATCTTATCTAAAAAGTAATTTAGAGTTCGACGGAGATACCGTATCTACGAAATGCAAGAGAAAATAAAATGCCTTAGCATGGGAAAAGATCAGAAACGATAATGCAACGATAGGAATAATTCGTTCTACTTTATTTATGTTGTTTACAATGAAAACATATACACGTAGAAAAATATTCTACTGTCAAAAGAAACAACCGCTTTCCTTCCTTTGATCAATAGTTATCGTCAACAAAGATCATTTTCTTACAATAGTCTTAAGATGTATTCATTATAAATTTTACAAAAATTCATTATTATTCATTTTTTTTCCTTAAAAGAATAATTTATTCTCTTTGCAAGAATATTATAAAACTTTATCAAAGAAAATATTTGTTTTATTCAATTCTATGCACTGAGCAAAACTAAATTTTTATTTTAATTTAATATTCTTGATTGAAATATTAATAAATCGTTCATCGTTAAAAATAAATTATGTTAAATAAATTTGATGAATTTATAAGAGATTTGAACGTGAGAGCTTAATTAGGATATCCCCGGATCACTAAATTGTGGGTTTCTACCGCGTTGATAAAAGTTTCGAAACCATGTTTTACGATGTGTTTGTTGCTCAAGAATATACATGTTAAAAATAAAACCCACATTACAAAAAGTAACTTAATACGTAAAAAGTAAAGACGGCAAATTCGTAAAGAAATCGATCAGCAATTTAATTCGATATTTTATTGTCATGTTTAACATATCAACACTTGTACTTTGTCCGAGCAGTGGCTAAACGCGTTTAGTAATATTGGATAATCCTGTTAGTCACGTCATTCCCGAATGAATAATTTATGTCGACTGGTATTCTAAGAATTATATCAACGGCACATCGAACTTTTATGTACGCTTAAATCTATATAGTTCACACAGCATATAAGTGCAACGCTTGCAGTTCTGTATTTTCCGAGAAATGTAACGATTTTTCTGCAACGAGGCGCCGTGCATTTGCAGATAACGTGTGAACCTTACCATGTATCAATCGATTATAGAAATATCTTTTTAACGCGGAACAATAATAATAATCAATCATCTACAGCGAGAATAGTTTCGTATCAAAAGTGGGTGTATTTTTTCGCAATGTCTACACTGTGTTAGAAAAGTTCTTAAAAATAATAGAATTTTTGTAAATAAATTTAAGAATTTTATATTAAAATTAATAATAGTAAAGATTTTCATTACATTAGGATTATTAATTGTAAATTAGTTATAATATTTCATATTTCTTGTAAAATCTAATATTTTCTATTTTATATTTCATGTTTTTTTATTAAATTCCATATTAAATTATGAAATATTATAACATTATATGATATATTAGAATAATTTTTCTAATATGTCATAAATACGAGACTGTTTCGGACGTGGCCTGTGAAAGATTCAGTTTATAAAACCTCGTGGCCTTTATCGAGATCTCAACGGAGCCAAAAGTCTCTTCATCGGTTCTTCTTTATGCTATCGTAGAAGTGCATCGCTATATTGTGATTTTGTTCGCTGATTATGATCATAACTATGTGTTATTAAATATAATATTGATTTTACTATTACTTTTTTTATAACGTAGTTATGTAAAAAAACTTCACATCCCAGTGATTAAATTTAATACGGATTTTTCTAACAGTGTAGATTTTCCATAAGACGTTGATTTTGTATCCGAGCGAAACACCACGAACGTGCGTGTCGAAATAATTTCATATTGCTACCAAAGACAAAAGGAAAGAAGAGTTATCCACGTGACCCAACTTTCCAAGTTACTCGACTGTACGTGGTGTGGCAGTTTTAGGACGGTCAGACGCCACCGAGGTGATGATACGGTACTGGGCGGTGCGTACTCTACTAGTATACTCACGCTCGACTTTTCGTTCTAGAAATAGAAGTGAATGAGAGCGTTGAGCAAGTGTTTGTTGTGTGAGAGACTTGAGCACGTAACAGTGTCAATCCGACGAATAATCTGGAGACAGTGACGGGGCCTGTTTACTCTGTCCGGTAGTCTAGTGTGTGGCCAATGAGGTCTCGGAATACCACCGCGCGAGTCGTGTATTTTCGGCATCTTTAATTGGAGGGAGCCGGCACGATTTACTCGAGTTCATAATTAGATCGTCACCGCGCGCGCCTCCGTTCAATGGTGCTTTCTACGGAGAGAACGATTCCCTTTTCGTCGACTGTCTTGTCGCGCGGAGGCGCGCTGATTATTTGGATTTAAGTGACACATTCTATCGCTCCGGAACAAAAATTCACTCATTTCTTTATCGCGCTTTTTTCATTCGCGTGAGCAGTCGCGGCTGATTAATGCCGGAATTAGTCGAGTTGTTCTGTGCATCGATATCACGTTCCAACGTTAATAGCGCGGTGGCTCGATCGAGAAGTGCAAGATGATACGACGTAAAACTTTTAACAAAACGGGTCGTGACTCGCCGGCTTGAGAGATTTCACACAGGCGACTTGAACTTCGCATCATACCTACCGCATCGTAATGGATTAATGGCCGTGCATCGTCTTTACGCTCGCGCTCACATGTAGCAATCCATTCATGCCACGATGTTCTCCCCTCTCCCTTCCTCGCGCGTTGACGCCCGACTTTGCAAACAATGGACCATAAATGTGGCTTCAATTATGTTGCAATTGCGGTGACGCGTGATTTAAACGCCACGACGTCGCTTATCGCTACGTGCTACATAGTACGTAAACATCGTAACACGTGTAACTTCATGGAAGCCGTGTGGTATGTAATGCGGTATGACCTAAAATTTTAACGACTCCGCTGGCAACGAACTCTCCCGATTGGTTTATCGGGAATCGGGTTTATTGGTTTATCGAGATACGCTGACAATGGGAACACTCGCTTCGTGAAATAATGATGATGGCGATGTTCTCTTTCTCTCTTTCATCTTTGGTGTTTCACATTTCGTGAAAGTGTGAGACAGACGAAATGTCATTTTTCAAACAACTCTTACGAATCGGCGCGAAATTAGAATATCCCTGTTCTTCGAATCTGTTCACACAGAAGTTGTGCCGACACTCCGTATGCCAGATCAACAAGCACTTCATCATGCCGCATCGAGCAATACGATAAGAAGATTGAGTAATTCGACATTCCAATGTTCGAAAGTTCTCTTACGTCACCTAATTTCCTAACGGAAATCGTGTTTTTCTACATTTCTCATAGTGCAGTCTCATGTTTCGGGATCGATCATGTTGATATGTCAAAGAATGTGTATTTATTAAGCTGTGTAAATTAAACATTGAAGAAAGAGATTTAGTCAGGTCTATTTCGTGCTGTGTGTGTTTAAGTATCGCCATCCACATTACCGTTTATCTAACATAAAGATTTCGCGTTATCGGTTTTCCGAAGTCTTCCCACGTTCCTTATCTGCTGCGTCAATCGTGGGCCATTTTTGTCCCTTTTATAACTGTGAAAGAATATCCTACCTTTTCTGAAGCCTTCTGGCAGCGGTGGGACAGAAAAATGTAGCAGGAAATAAGGGGAAGGCTGCTCGAAAACGGAGAAAAGTTTATTGTCAGATATCGCAAATGTGTTGAAACGACGCTGCAGATCTTCGCAGTGTAAACGGAGATTTCTATTGTGCTGGAACTAAAAGGGAGAGAAAGAGACGAGTTGCTTGAAAATTATGTTGAACGCGTATAAATGATGAAAGTTATCGGAAGAGATAACTGCATGTCGATATAATCGTTTTGAAATGGAATTAAAATTTCTTTGTAACGATATTGATAGCGCCAAGTATATTTTTAACCTTTACAGAGAATAGATCAAATATTCTTTGTTTGGGTCACCACTTCGGAATTATTTATATATTTGAAATAATAAAATATAATTTCCACGTATGACATGTATTAATAATGATTGAACGTCCCTACATCTTTAATGACATGCGCTGAGTACTCGGTATAATTATCTGCAAATATGATACGCTATATACACTAACGAATGTAAAATATTGCTAACGTATTATTGCGTGTCCACTAAACAAGAATAAATATGAAGGAGGAATAATTGAGAATATGCGAAGTACGCTCCTTCGTCTTCAAAGCGTGTGTTAAGAAGAGAAGAGAGAAAAAGAGAAAGAGAGAGAGAGGAAGAAAAAAAAGAAAGGTATTCTCACACTGCAACTTCGCTGTTCTCAAACTGTCTGTCCTTCTCCAACGAAACCGTAGAAACATCTGCCTCTTCCAAGAAGGTGGTCTCAAGATAATGCCGCATGGAAACGTGCTCTGTACATACAAAGTTGCTGGCTTCTTCCAGAAGACGAAGACACGTTTTTCTCCGATTCCATGAATTGTGAACCTATATATTTCCCTTTTTCTTCACGTACTTTATTCATCTCGTGACGGATCCCCATGACTGAAAATATTTTCCAGACTGGCCTCTGCTGAAATTTATGTTCCGACATGCTTTCCGTTTCTTATTCTTTTTTTAATTCAACGTCGAACGTGCCACAGAGAAAAACACCACGCTACAATATTTTACGGCTTTCTCCCTTTGTTCGTTGCTTCCGTCCTTCCGTTTGGCTTTTCCGCTTGGTTTGAATTCCGTTTGGCTTTTATCGTATAAGAGGAAGTCGATAGAGGAGCTTTTAATCAAAGCCGCGAGTACATCCGTCTTTACGAAGTGTTCATCTTCAAAATTGCCAACGTGAGTCACTCGACGTATATCGTTACGACGTATACATTATGATTATCATTGATAAATGATGCTCCACAACATTTTATTATTTACGGTTATTACTTAGTGACGAAACATACACGTTTGTGTCAAATTAATAGTATATCGTACGTATTCGATGACACACTCTCCATTTATCTGTAACTACTCGACTTTTCCCACAGTATTCGAGTATTTAATGACGACCATGTGGTACACTAAGAAAAAAAAGGAGGGCAAATCACCAAGTGATAACAGCGCGTGGTTTATTATTTCCTCTGGATGGAGTCGGGTGTCTTTTTTCAGCATCCGGTTATTTAAAACCATTTCAGTTATGCCATGGATCTCCCCTATCGCATACAAAGCACAACTTTTCGTATCTCTTTATGCACACACAACCCAGTATCTTGAACTTCCTTTTAAACCGTTCCAACGCGTCGTCATACGACGTTTTACGTGCAAACAGTACGAACATTGTCAAATATATGCCGGTCCTCGTGTGTCATTCAACGACACGCAGGCTGTGTCTCGTAATTGAAACGTATCAGAGGGAATATCCTAACGGTATCCGAGAAAACGGTCTGATAGCCGCGAATATTTTCTTCGTCCATCCAACGACGATCATCGATCATGCCGAGAGACCAAAGGGAACGCGAGGGGCAAAGACCTCGGGTGATGTAGGGCCTCCGTTGCATTTACAAGATGTTCTGGAAAGCCGACGATGAGGCCATCGTGGCAGGCTATTATATGAGCACAGGTGTCGGTGCAGATGTCGCGTAGCAGACGGTCTGCCACGCGCGCTCGATCGACGCGGTGCCGTCTCGAAATTTTAATAAAACGCGCGCGCGCGCGCGGGAGAGCGAGTGAAAGAGGAAGAAAGAGGGCCGTCGCCGGACGGCCGTGTGTTTGCCTTGCGCCGCGCAAGTGTGACTGAACAAACATGTATGCACGCATCACGATACACTGAATACACACGATACGCGCCGTGCATCTTATCCTTGCACATCTCCGCACAGATCTCCAATATGAATCTATCAGACAACGTGCGCTCGTAGGTGGTGATCACGTCGGAGCGGCCGAGGACTCGCGGTGTCTCGTAAGATCTCAGGCTGAACGTCGAGACTTCAGTTCCTCTCTTTGCGCTAGGTTGTTGTTGCTTACTGCCTTGTCTTTAACCGTCTGCACATTTGCATCGGTGCAAGAAAGATTCCAACTCACCCGCAAATCTTGCCCTTAGTTTCGATGTTGCGAATACGGAAAGATGAAAACTATTTTGTCCGCGCAGCATGAAACATCACCTATTTCAATTCCCATCTGATACAATTGTTATCCTCGTGTGAGATAAGACAAGCTGTTAGTCCCGTTCATAAAAACAGTTTAGTCTTTATGATTTTAAGAAATTACTAAATTAGTATTCGTGCCACGTATTTATTAGTAATAGCTCAAGTGATTAATGTCGAATTGTGATATTTCTTTTATATATTTGTTACTATTATCGACGCATAAAATATAATAACGTATTAACAACGTTGGAAACGTCGTTAATACGTTATCGTGTCTGCTAGAATAATAAGGAGGAAATTTGTTATTGTTTCAGGTAGAAGTCGAGATGTTGTGATGGCTGGTAGATCACGACGTTCGAGCACAGAGCTCGAACCAGATCTATCGACGCCAACGGCTGCAAAGAAATCCAAGCAATCTGAAACATTATCCGAAGAACTGCCCGCGGAAGAGGACTTGACGAAATTGGAAATCATCGAGTCACCGTCCACGAGCGAAATCTCTTCACGGACCGAAATTGTTCAGAAAAGGAGCGAACAGCTCGGAGAAATTGCAGAACCTGCGGAAGCGTCGAAACAATCGTCGCTGGCCGGTGAGACGTCATTGGGCTCAGCTGAAACAAGCGTGGAATTGTTTGAACAGAAGACAGACGCCACCGCGACTTCAGCGGAAGCGACTCCGGGTTCATCGAAGGAAGAACAGCTCGGTACATTGAAATCCATTGTAATGAAGTACGGCAATCAACGCGAGCTCTCTGATGCCTCCGGCAAAACACCAGAAACCACCGTCCAGATTCAAACATTCTTGCTGGGCGAACATGCGTCGTATGAGGAACTGTCTCTTATCGGGAACGGCGCTTACGGCACAGTATACAAAGCGAAAGATAAGGTTAGCGGTCAAATCGTAGCACTTAAGAAAGTTCGGGTACCTTTGACGGAAGACGGCCTACCTATGTCCACACTGAGGGAAATCGCTACTCTGAAGCAGCTTGAACGATTCGAACATCCACATATCGTAAGTTTCATTTGCGGTAATCTTGCTAATAAAAAGCGACTGTGTAATCTAACACTTAATTCTCTTTGTTCTAGGTCAAATTACTAGATGTTTGTCAAGGAAGCTATCTCGATTTACCGTCGAGCGAGCGATCCGGTCGATTGGATCGCGGCCTCACCCTGTGGTTAGTGTTTGAACATGTGGAAAGAGATCTCGCTTCCTACATAGCTAATTGTCCTCCGACGGGTATCCCTCCGTATCTCGTGAGGCAAATGTCGAAAGAGATACTTTGTGGAGTAGAGTTCCTACATAGCCATAGGATAATACACAGGGATTTAAAGCCGCAAAACCTCCTGGTAACGCGAGATGGAAGAATCAAAATTGCGGATTTCGGACTGGCTAAGACCTATGATTTCGAAATGAGATTAACTTCCGTCGTATGTATGAGTATTACATATGAAGACGATGAAATAGTTCGCGCGAAATCAATCACACGAATCAATCACACGAATTCTATGTTATACACTCTAGGTCGTAACTCAGTGGTACCGAGCGCCTGAAGTACTTTTGGGATGTTCCTACGCCACTCCTGTAGATATTTGGTCCGTCGGGTGTATAATGGCGGAACTTTACAAATTGGAGCCATTATTCCCGGGTACCAGTGAAGGGGACCAATTAGACAGGATTTTTCAGTAAGTTGATATTCTCCTTTTCTTTCACATCGAGAGCCGTATTTTATAATTTCTTTTTTCACACACATTTTTTCTTTGCAGAGTTGTGGGTACTCCATCGCAGCAAGCGTGGCCAGAGAACGTATCACTCAGTTGGACAGCTTTCCCTCACAGACAACCCAAACCTCTTAGTGCAATAATACCAGATCTAGATGAACATGGACTAGACTTAGTAAAGAATATGCTCATGTTTGATCCTCATAGTCGTATAACCGCAGCACAAGCTGTAAGACACCGATACTTTTCTGAAGATGACGCGTGATGACTTTTCCGTAAGTTGTTTACCGCTAAGTAAGCTAGCAAACATTCAGACTGACGTAATTGTATTTCGAAATATATATGACATTTAAGCACTATGATAGTCTGTAAAATACACTTTTAAGTATGTCATTATACATATATATCAGAAGCATATTAGAGATTTAATAGTCTCTAATTCGAGTGTTAGAGAGATTCACTAAGACTCACTTGTGCTTATAAACGTTACGAATTCAATTAATGCTTAAAATTAAAGCTTAAATTTCTTGCATCAAAATTAAATATAGTTTCGTAGTCACTATATGTAATCCATTATACTATTTTCACATTATTGGTTTTGTAGAATTAATTTTTTAACATTAAATCGTAATAATATAATAATTCTTTAAAGTTCGTGAAACACAAACCTAAGTAATATTTAAGTTATCCTATACTTTAATGCATAATGCAATAGCAAAACAGTTATTATTTTTGATATTTATTTACACGATAATATTACAGTCAGTTGTATTTTTATATTGTTAAAAATTACATATTCTCCATCATTCATATCTTTTATTTCACACTATCAGTGGTCGTATGCACACAGCATTTATATTAATTAGTTTCTAAGATAAAATATATAACTACGAACAATCTTATTAGAAGTCAAAAAACGAATATATATAACATAATAGCTTTATTGTAGAGATGTATGACTTTCATTCGATGCACAAATATTAAACTAAATGGTAGAATAAAAAGATAAGTATGTTAATCACATAAGTAGAATTATTTTTCTAAGACTGGGGCCTTTTGTGTGACCCATTAGAACCATGGGAAAGATTTAGGATCTTCCAGAGAAAACCAGAAAATACACTGCCATACATATGTACCATAAGCTATTGCAATCGCTATTATATTTTTTATTACTGTACTATATATCGACAACAAATGTATAGAGCAATAAGTGACACAATATTTATATGGATATTAACATGTATTATTATGTTAAGATATAGAAAATAGATAAACGCATTGTATTAATATATATATACAAATATCTATAAGACTGTATTATGAAATAAAAGTTTTATAATTTTATATGTAGAGCAAATTGTGTCACAAATTTCAATCACTAGAACAACACGTGCCATTTAACTAGCAATTTTATAAAAAAAATAATATTAGATTTGGTTTCCGGATTTGAACTGCGTAGATTTTTTTTATTTAAAATACCAAAAAAATAATGTTTGAAACACTTTCTAAGATACCAAAATTACTTGGAGAAAAATATAATTTAATACATAACTGCTTGATCTTATGGTGGTAGTTTCTCACAATATCGTCTATAAAAACTTCTATTTTATGTCTTGAAACAATAAAACATCTTTTATTAGTTATCATTTTATTGTATAGTGAATATTTTCTAATTTTATAAACTTACTTATATTTCTTTTTATATTATGCAATGCATCTAATAATGTTCTAAACTGTAATACATTCAGATTTGTAACTATTAACTTTTATTGTGTCACCTGTATAAATAATAGGTCTGTTTTCTATTGTTAAACTGGCTGTTCTCTCTCATCTTTCTTCCATCAAATTTTATCTGTATATCTGTCTCTTTTTAAATTCCAAAAGTGTACACTAGTTCAGTAATAGAAAACAGATCCAATTTCTCAAAGTAGATCCCCTAACTCTTTTTAGAAACAATACAAATATATTTTACAGGATCTTTTCCCTGTAAAAAAGAATCCACACTTATATATTGTAATATTATTACTTAAATAAATTAATTATCAGGATTGGAAAATACGTTTACTGATCTAAATTTCAGGGTCTCAAAACACAGTGCATCTTTTTCTACGTGAATCTCTACCCTCATTCCTCAACGCTCAGTCTAGATATATTATGTCTATGGGTATAATAGTTGTCGGTGCTGCGAATCTAATCTCAAATAATAGTAGTGAAAATTATGTCGTTCGAAAAGCAGCATTTGAGACACTACATCCTTTTCGCGTTCCAGCTGAAAAAAAATGCCGCGGAAGCTCAAGAAATGATTTGTTCGGCTTTAGGCGAAAACTTTGTGTCGTACATTATATGTAAAAAGTGGTTCCAAAGATTTCGTGATAGCAATTTCAATTTGGAAGATAAAGAACAGCTAACCGAAGAAAGTGGAAGATGAGAAATTGGAACAGCTTTTGGATGAAAATCCTTGTCAAACGCAATCAGAGCTTGCGAATGCACTTGCGGTAAGCCAACAAGCCATTTCGAAACGTTTACGGAAACTTGGTAGGGTTCAAAAGAAGAGTCGTTGGATTCCGTATGTGCTAACGCCTGAAAACAAGGAGAGACGCCGCGATACGGCTATCTACCTATTGTCGAGATTCAAAAACTTTCTACACAAAATATTGACTTATGATGAAAAATGGATTCTATGACAATCCGAAGAGACAAAAATCTTGGGTTTATCCAGGTTAACCATCAACCAGCACTGCAAAACCAAATATTCACAATAAAATGATATTGCTGCGTATTTGGTGGGATCAGAAGGGCGTTATTTACTATGAGCCGCTCCCACCTGGGATAACGGCCACTGCTAAGTGTTATCAACAGCAATTGATTCGAGTAAGTGATGCCCTTGAAGTAAAAAGACCGTTTACTAGCATTGGAAGAAGGAAAGTGATTTTACTGCAAGACAATGCGCGGCCGCACACGGCAAAATTAACGATAGAAGTTATCTTCGATGACTGGGAAATTCTCCCTCATGCGGCGTATTCTCTGACTTAAAATCTACGAATTACCATTTTTTCTGGATCCTCCAACATTATCTAATTGATTCCCACTTCAAGTTTCTCGAAGAAGTCGAAAGAAACATCATAGAAATTCATCGACTCAAAACAACCATCTTTTTTCTGAAGCGAAATCCGACAGTTGCCTGAAAGATAGCGAAAATGTGTGGAAAGTGAAGAGAATTACTTTGAACATTAAGTAAATATTCATTCTTTTATAATTTTACATCGAAACTTGGCAAAAAAGGCCGAGAATTAAGTTGTAGACCTAATATTATCAGAAACTTTTCTTACACAAAATCTCCATCTCCCAAAGTATGTCAGCCACATCATATTACAATTAATTCGCCAGTTAGACACTCTCTCTACAGGGATACCTTCAATGACTTTCCTCTCAAACATTTTTAGAAATGGTGTAATGATATACAGGGTGATCGGAAACAATCGCATTCGGTTAATATTATCGTATTTTTGAGCGAATTCTAAGACTATTTTTCCTTTTGCAAAATGTTATCCGAGGCTTAGTTGCTGAACTATAAAGATAAATAGTTAGTCTCTCACAGGCCAAATACGGAAAGTAGGCAGAGGCAGCACACAATTCATTGTCAAACACAGACGTTGGGCAATACACATGTGACAATATTCATACATCTTAGCTTGATTCTTTTGGTAAACTATCTGGCAGTTAAATTATATGTCTACCCTCATTTTTTCTTCAAATTAAACAGAAACAGACATAATTTAACTGTCAGGTAGCTTACTAAGAAGTCGGAATAATCTTAGAGTACAGTCGGCGTCGGAAAGGTTGTCCCGTCTTTTCCCGTATAGTACAATAACGTTGCAGCAACATTACAGCATCATTGTTTTACAATATTGTGACATTGCAACAACGTTGCAAAATGTTGCTGTAATGCTACTGCAACGTTGCAGCAACGGTAAAATGTCCGCTTGCGACAATATAACAACGCAACTGTGCAGCAACATTGCAATGCAATATATATGTAATATTATTAATATGTTTTATTATATAAAGTAAAATCCCAGATAACACCCTTACAGGAATATTATACTATAATAAATACTAAAAAATTACAAGTGATTATGTATTACCAGTAATTCAGTAATTTTTTCGTCAGTACTTAATTTCTGGTGAATATTGATAATAAAATCACTATTAAATATTGATAGTAATCAAATACTGACAATTATTGTGGGAATGTGAAAAATGAGAAAATCATAATATTTAAAAAAATATATTTATAATTTCTAATTTTCTTATGTCTCATAAACTAGTAGGTATCAAAGATTGTCAATATACAACTCCAAACTTTCGTGAATCTTCCCTTGATAATTTCGATCCTAAGCTGTATACCACCGGTCACTATCTATGTCCTGACTCCGTTAAAGTGTTGCTTAACCTGACGATCAAGTGGCACGCGGCGATTCCCAATGACTCCAACGATATTCTTACGATAAACTGAAATAAAAAGCTCCTTGAAAATAGATAAACTAATAGTGAGAAATTAACGACACATAAGGAGCAAGCACAGATGTCTTAGTGCTATTAAATACTCAAGGATCGGTCTAAGTATGGAAGGTGATTCTCCGCGTACGATAATCGAAGAAAAATTTCGATACGTGCGTTTAACATACTGGACAATTTTATCCTCCCACAATCATATTAATATTAAATAAAGTAATATTAGTATTTAATAGCACTAAGACATCCGTGCTTGTTCCTTATGTATCGTTAATTTCTCACTATTAGTTTATCGATATTCTTACGATTTGTGTTTATATAATTTCTCCTTATAGTGTTTACAATATATTATAACATACCTAGCAAACATCAAATAATAGTTATAAAACTTTTATTTGGTGTTCGTTAGATAATTTATTGATAGATATTAAACAACATTCGATATAAGATGAATATTGATGTAATGTAATGAACCAGTGATAATTACTTTTAAATTTTTAACAGAATGTTATAATGATTAATCTAAACTAAAAAAATAAAAAGTCCAAGAAAACCTAAATTAAACAAATTGAATTACTAAATGTTGAAAAAAACTTTTATAAAATATTATTATATAAAACAATAATGTTGTTTCATCAAATGACATGATTTCCTTGAACGAAATAAAAGTTTTTATTTTTACCATTCCAAAAAATGATATTTCGTTTAAGAATATAATATTTTAATGAAACAAAAAAACCACAAAATTAAACAAGTACAAATATTAAATCTAAAGAAAGTATTTTCTCCGAAAAAACAATATAAGAAGTTTAAGAAATATGTAATAAGACAAATTCTAGTATTAATAACTGCCACTAACAAGTACTATTCTAAGTACTATTCCATAAGCATTATTAATGTGATATGAAATATTACTGAATTTGAAATATAAGTAACAAAAATAACTAGTAAATAAGTAAAAAATATTATATTATATTCATCATATTTCTGAAATAGTGCTGCAATATTGCTAAAGTAATATTGCAAATTAATGTCAATTAATATTGCAAATTAATGTCACTGCAATGTCTCTGCAACATTGCACTGCAATATGCAATCTTGCAACGTTGTAGCAATATAGCTGCAAGCAATGTAGCTGCAAGCTTCTGTGCTGTATGGGTTATGACTTTCGGAACGTATCTTTTCTAATTGAAAAATTCTCTTATTGATCAAGAAATTCTTCTATTGGATAAGACAATGCGTTCCAAAAGTCCTAAAAAACCAGAGAACCGTTCTGATATTGATTGTACATAATTATAATTTCTATCACACGAGTGGACTTTGTTATACGTAGTAAATAAAGGACATACTATTTAATCCTATATATATTTTTTATATCTAATATAAAATATATTTATTTACACTTATAAGGGAATGCCACAACCTGCAAAATCGATTTTCGACCGAGTCATAGCACGTTCAATAGCTGCGACGTTGAGCATTAACATCCTAACGGGGTTTATGTACAAGTGGGCCTTTATTTATGAGAAATTACAGTATAAAGTTTGGGAGCGGAACTGTAACGTACATAGGGCGAAAGTTGCGGCTCTCTTGTGCGAGCCGGTTGAGCCAACTGAAGCTCCCGCGTCGAACATTTTTAAACCGGCGGCGAGCGTTTGAATCCCGCCGACAACTTGTCCGTGTGCGGTATTTTATTTTTTCTTACCTTAATTACACGTAATTAATGCTTTTCGAATATAATACATTTGCATATGTCTTTCTTTTTTATGCTATTAATCAGGGATAATTAGGAAAGTGTCAGGCTTGTTTAACGCAAACACGAATATAGACATATAATTTGTACATTGAAATATTGGGTGTACAACTTAGTCCGTTTTCAAAAGATGGCTCTAGGTGCTATAAATGGTTGACGGCGACAGCTGATTTTTGCTGTATCGTGAAATGTCAACATCTGTCAACCAAATATTGTTTACAAGCCTTTGAGTTTTGCACAACAAGTTTAATTTTTACTACGTTGAAAATGTCGAGTTTCGTTCCAAATAAGCACCATTTGCGGGAAGTTTTGATTTTCTGTTTCAATTGGAAGAAAAGTGCAGCTGAAGCGCATCGAATGCTTGTGGAAGTTTATGGTGAATCTGCACCGTCGGATAAATCTTGCAGAGAATGGTTTCGACGATTTCAAAGTGGTGATTTTAGTGTTGAAGACAAAGAGCGTTCGGGTCAACCGAAAAAGTTTGAAGATGAAGAATTAGAAACATTACTTAGAGAATTAGAAACTCGATCAAGATTCGTGTCAAATGCAAAAAGAGCTCGCAAGAACATGGGAAGTTACTCAACAAGCTATTTCGAAACGACTCAAAGCCGCGGGATATCCAAAAGCAAGGAAATTGGGTCCCATACGAATTGAAACCGAGAGATGTATC